TTGCCTCCTAATTCTGAGCTATATACTGCTGGTTTGCACTGCCTAAGCAGGAGGTTTTAGAGGATGTGAGCTCCCCAGGTACAGCACAGGCTGCGCTGTTCTTTTGGCTGAGGGGTGCTATGGTCTAAGCTAGCGCAGACAGAGGCTGGAATTTTATCTGGAATCTTTATGAAATTAGTGGTCCTCAGACTGAGGTGAAGGAGTCATTGTGTTGCTCAAAACAGAGGAACTGTGGTTGTGCCTGTGTCCTCTGAGAGCAGGGTGTAGAAGAGGAGGAAATATCTTTGAATTTTCTTTCAACCACATTGTGAGAACACATGCATAGTCTGTGAAATATGATTATACACTTTCCTTCTCTGGAACACACAGGGAATCAAGGGGACATTGGGTAATTAATTACTTAGGGTGAAGAGATCAATGGATGTGCAGTGTTGGCACATTTATTTTAGCATCATCATTAAACTGTCTAGGATAGTATGTTAAAAATACAGAACATCTCATCTGTTTGGCTAGTAAATTAGATGATCTTGTGCATCCACCTGTTTCTACACGTAAGAAGTTTTAAGCTTTACATACAGAATGGTAGGATTGCGATGTAAAGTTTTATAGATTTTTAACATTCCATGGGCTTGACAAGCTAGTAGAGAAAAGGCCTCTTGTGGCTCTAACTGGAAAAGCAGATAAGCGTCAGGAGTGTCTTTTCCTTTGCTTTCTACTTTTCCAGCAGCTGTTCAGTAAAGAACTGTATTCTCCCAGAATTCATATTATTCCCTTAATTCTCTGACACCTCCCTCCCCCAATCAGTACTTTGAATTGATATAACCTGTCAAACTGTTTTTGTTAGTTTTATTAGTGCTATTTCTAGAAGTGGAGTCTTCTGGGGATGAAGTTACTATATCAGCTAATAAGCATAGTCTGACACCAATTAGCTGGTATTAGTAATAATATAAACTAATCAGAAGTCTGACATTGCAATGTTAATGCACGAAAAATTCCTTTCCAGTATAGCTGGAAAAGAAGACACTCGAGACAGTAATAATCTCCATAGTGAAATCATCATGGTCAAAACTCCATATATTTCCAGCTGAAAGCAGAAAACAAAAGTGACTGCTTCAGGTTAAGTTTCTGTTTTCCAGACCTATCTGAATGTGTAATTTTTTTGCAGAGCCAACTCAGTCACTTGGAATCCACACAAGATGATGGGAGTGTTGTTACAATGTTCTGCCATTCTTGTCCGGGAAAAGGTCTGCCTTATATTTAATAATTAAGCAGTTAAAAAAAAAAAAAAGTAAATATCAAGTCCTACTTTTTAAGAGGGTAGTGCAACATCCATTTAATTTCAAAACTTCTTTTGGAAGGAATAATTGTGTGGATTTACACTGTGTTTAGGAAGTTGTTTTATCTTTTCTGTTTTGTATTTGTGTTTTGTTTGGGTTTTTTTTTTTCTTAAAGCTGTAGATAATATGGGTCAGATCTTTAGCTGTGGAATCTTTGCATATTCTAATAACACTAGAGCCATGGTAATATGCTTCATTTGAGCATCTGTCTCATTGTTTCTATGATATACTGAACATAGATTCTTGGTCTTAGTAACTGGTGGTAGTCTAAGCTGCTTAAATAAAAAGCAATATTTTTATCTTACACAGTGGTTTAAAAGTTTCTCAATTCTGTTGAAAAGAAAGCATGCTGCTTTTATTATGACTCCATATATATTTTTAGGGCTTTCTTCTAGATTGTTGTCATCAATAAAAGCAAGACCAGTGTCTTAATTCTTTTAAGCAATTTGTATTTTCCTCAGATGATAAAAAAAAAAAAAAGTCATGTTATCTGTGGATAGGTCTAATTCTGTTGTCTACTAATTTCTGGCATGTCAATTGCTACTCAAAGAGGTTAGTTGAAGAAGTGGTCCCTGTGCATAGAACTGGGATAAAGGAGTTGTGGATTCCAGCCCTAGGTCTGCCATTGCTCTTCCAGGTGACCCATCTCTAAACTGAAGACTGCAGCATTTATTTCCCTTCATAAAATACTTTGACATCTATTGGAGGAAAGCACTAGCCATTATTTAGTGGCATGCATGCTTATTATGCTACTATTTGCAGGATTTTGGCAAAATTTTTTATTCTCTATATAAGAACTTTGATAGGTGTTTTTGTATTTATCAGATACACCAGTGTCTTCGAGCATCTTCAAAGAACAACTAATAAACTCTAAAGGAGATGAAACCATTTTAGAAATGTCACATGTGTAAGACTTCTGTGTAACATACAGGAATTTGCTCCTCTGTGTTTCCTTCAGAGGTGTTTGCCAGTAATCTGTAGGTTTCTATTGGTCTGTGGACCATATTTATTTGTAAGCAAAAAATGTCTGGTTTTAGGTAATTTTTACATATATTTATCACTAACGTTAAGTGTCATAAAGCTGGACAATATATAAAGTTGAAGCCTTCAATTACTTTTTTTTTTTCCTTCGTTTTCTGTAGCTATCTGCTGCACTGAGAGACCTCAGCTTTATTCTAGTGTGTAGTTTAATACATCAAAAATTTAAGTCTTAAGAATATAGCCTTACAAAGTGAAGTGGACAAAGTTAGTATCAAAAACTAAAAATCCAAATTAATCTGAGAATGTTTTTTCAGGTGTGGGCGTGTGGGTGTGTAAAACCATATGACTACTCAGGGACTTCTAAGAGAACCACCTTAGGTTATGAAATTATTTTTGTGGCTCAGGCTTACAAAACAACATCAGTATTTTATAATTGGCCTATTAAAGAACAATTTTTCTGTATATATTTGAAATACATTTTTAATATATTATTAATGCATACAGTTTCATGTGCACATATGCCATATAAGTTATGTAAGTACATGTTTTTCATTACAGGGTATACTTCAAGGCTGCAATCAAATGTGTGCAGGCTATCTTTTCCAGCAAGACAAACAGTATGATGTATCCTATGACACTGGAGATAAGGCAATACAGTGTGGTCGACATGTGGACATTTTCAAATTCTGGTTGATGTGGAAGGCAAAGGTAAATAATAAAAGTTCAGCTCAAAAATCAGAAATGTATTTATTTAATTTATAAGTCTAATGTAATGAAACACTTTTTTTAACATAGATGTTTGTGTAATTACAATCTCTAAACACACAGATATCTAAGTATTAAGTCAGAAAAAAGCCATTTAAATTGTAGGACAATGTTAGCCACCAATAAATTCAGCTGGAAATTAGAAGAAAGGTTTAAGTCACTATATAAGTTCCGCAGTAAAACCAGTGAGGGCAGGACACCGAAATGGTTTTTTGTTGTGATTCTATACACTTACATATGTATTTGATTACAGATTACTTATAGTGGCAGCAGAGTAGACTTGATGACTTGCAAAGGTCCTTTGAACATCACGTTTCTATGCATGGATTTTATAAGCAACTTTGAAAACACAGCCTTTTTCTTAGGAAGCTTTGCCTGACTAATGATTTAACAGTTGATTCCTTGGTACTACTGTGGTATGCCTGGATTTTAAGCATGGGCTTACATACAGGGTTACATGTTTACAAAATGAGAGTCCATGTAGTCAAGAAAACACATTTCATTTTTATTTCTTTATCTGCATTGATCTTATTACTATTCTTCTTGCTCTTCTGCTGACAGAATGAGAATTCATTTGGGTAACATGTCCACAGTCTAATATTTTATAAAACTGAGATTAAATCTAATGGCAAAATGTACAATCATAAAACAGTTTTCACTTTGGGTGACAGTTAGACAGCAATAGTAAATAACCTGTGATGTTAAAAGATGTTTTCATGCAGATTTCCTCAATATTGAAGACTGAGGGAAGAAAGTAACAGAACTTTAGATATACAGTTACTTTTAAACAGACTGTAGAGTTATTGTTTGTTTAAAAAAGTACTTCAGAAACAGAAACACAACACTTTAACACAAAATACTTACCAATTACTTTAGTAATTACTTTTAGTATAGGTTTGATTACCAGGCTAAGTACATTTCCGTTCAGACTCAGTTCTTCCTCCAAAATAAACGATTTTGGTACTGTAATCCAGTAACGTGAAAATGCTTATGATACATTAGAATTGGACTGTGACTAGCAGCTTTGAAGTGTGTTGTTTATGGTTCTAATTACCAAGTGCTGTTTACAAACACTATCAAAGCACGGACTGAACGTTTTCTAAATACCAGCCAAACACACTTTGTTAAAACTAGTACGCTGATTCTATCTCTGCTCTGTTAAACTGGCTTCACAATAAAGAAAAAAATTACAGTGGAAACCATAATGGATGTGGGTCATATTTAAAATTCAGAAGTAGGATATCTGTGGATGTGGTTCTTTAAAAATCATGTAGATTAAAATTGCTAAGTTGATCTGGAATTTAAATTTCTCCAGAAATTATTTACTTTGGATTTCTGTTTGGTCTTGAGACAGATTCAGATTTCTTGGACCTGAGTTCTCTGAGGTATTGGGTAGAGCGTGTTTCTAGCAGATTGCATAATTATATTACTCAAAAGTTAAGAAAACAAAATATTAGGAGCTATGGAAATTTTTCCTTTAGCATTAGCCACCATGAGTGATCATACTCTTGTCCTCATAGTAGAAATATACAGTCTAGGTCCAGTAGTATTCTTGTGATTTTACTTTCAGTCATTTTATTCAGTACAAAGAACTTACCCCAAATATGCAATAATTTAAGAGTGTACTTGTCTTTCTTACGTCTTTATTCAGGTACAGAAGTGTACTTTTAAAAAAAAAACCCCACAACTTTTTTATTCATACTTTATTTATTTTCATCATTCTTCTACTTTTTCTGGGATTATGATCTTTCAAAACAAATCAGATATGACAAAAGATCAGTAGGTAGGCAAATTACTTTTAGCAAACATATTGCAGGCTTTTGTTTGCTGACTTTTTAAAATGCAAATTTCTAGCAAACTGTTCAGAGGAAATAAATTACTTCCCAACTCTTACCCTTTCAACTGAGTTCCCGTTCCATGTCTTTCAGCAAGAGCTGGGAAGCCAAGACTTAATAGTCATAATATTTTTGGAAACTGGAAAAAAAAAAAAAAAAAAAAAAAGCTAAAAATAATCTATTACAAATATCAAAAGCCCTTGTTATTATCATAATAAATTCTCTTAAAACAAGACCAAAACCAAATTGTGATTATAGTTAGGCCACATTTAGCCACTTCTGTAGTGTTGATTAACTTTACTTTTAAATTACAAGAAATAGCACTGCTAGAAGTTTTCTGACTGAAAACATTTAAGAGCGAAGCCTATCTGAAAAGGTGATTGCATTGGAGGTGGAAAAATGACCATATAATTCTTACTTTCTTTTTAAAACAGGGTACAGTAGGATTTGAAAATCAGATCAACAAATGCCTGGAGCTGGCAGAATATCTCTACACTAAAATCAAAAACAGAGAAGAATTTGAGATGGTTTTTGAAGGGGAGGTAAGTTTTCTTTCATTCAACCTGTGTGTAGGAGCCAAATCTGTATGGAATTCCAGAAACAGTCTTCACACTTCTCAAGCCAGCTGTGCAAAATTGCTCTTATTTTCTAAGGAACTACATGGTTATTGGCATCTGGGCAGTTTTTTGGCCAAATGCGTGTGGTTTTTATCATAAATGTCAGATTTATCTCCTCTCCTTCTCTCTGCAAAGGACTTCTCAGTTTAGGGCATGACGACTACCTTAATACAATCTACTCATGCTGAGATTCCATATTAACACACATAACTGAGAATCTGCTATTTTTTCTGTATCTTCTGTTGCTAGTGCCACTGCATAAGCTCTTGGTTGATAGAATAACAAATATACTTCATCTCTCCATTTACTAAGAAAAGGAAAATTGGGTTGCCCTTGCCATGATCCTGGAAAACAGTTCCTCATAGAACTGCATGAAGGTGAAAAGCATTTGCACTTCATTTAGCATCCTAAAACATTGTAAATGGGACAATGTATATGGAATCTAAGACAGCAGGTGCAACCAGCAGTACTGTAATCCATTTATTTTGTTTTAACATGCGGAACTAGGATACTATATTTTGTCTTCCGTGTCTGTGCTAAAATATGCTACTGACTAGCCTTTAGTGTGTGATTGATTTGTATTATTTTGTTTATTGATGTATGTGTTTGGTTCTTTTTGCAGCCAGAGCATACAAATGTATGTTTTTGGTATATTCCACCAAGTCTCAGGGGCATGCCAGACTGTGATGAGAGAAGAGAAAAGTTACACAGGGTATGTGGTTTTTGTTAAATGCGAAAATATAGTCTACTCTTTCAACTCAAAGTATTCTGTTTATTAAAAATAATGTATCTGTGTGTTGACACATGTTCCAAATTGTCTGATGTCAGTTCTCCAATTGCTTGTTATGACCTTGATATTTGTTCACCTTTGTCTCCTATTTATTTATACTGAGGCTGAAGTCACATTTCCCCTATAGAACCAGATACAGAACATAGTTATTCTTTGTTTTGTATCACTTTTGTGTTCCCAAAAGTTTTACGAATCTTTAAAAAGTAGCTAGGCACAAAGACTTCCCAGTCCTGTTCGAATAGAACAGCAAGAGAAATGGAAGGGTAATTATTTGAAAATGCTGGGACAGGTAAAGGATATGGAAACCTGTAAGTCCTCCTCAGGTCTTTATTTTGATTTTAAATATGCTTGGTTAGCCATGCATTAATGCATTTCAGTGAAAATGAATATCCTTCAGAGGACTTTGGGATAAATTTATTTGAAGAAATGATAGAGGGAAGTGAAGGCATTCTAGAGGCACCACCAGGAAAAGTACCATGTTACTTAGGACTTGAGAGAAGTGAAATACATTAATTTTGTAGTAGCATTTTAGACAGACAGAAGTGGAATGGAAAACATTCAGGAGACAGAAGAATGATGTTATAGTTGTCAAAATTAATTGCAATATTTTAGGTTTGGGAAGGGAGAAGATTGGGCAAACTTGGGAGGTTTTGTAGAGGGTTTTATGTCTGCATCACGTTGGGGAAAGAGAACAGAAGAGAATAGAAATTCCTGGGTCAACCCAGTGACATGTTAGGTAAAGAAATTGCCTAAAAAGACAGAAAAGAGGAAGATAGATAAGTCTGGGAAGAAGGATGAAATGTTTGACTCAACCTTGTTAAATGTTAGAGGACATTATAAAGCACCCTACAAAACAGCAAAAAAGCCAGACATCTGATCTTGGCTGGCAGAGAGTAAAGCAGGAGAAAGAAATGGCAAAACTGGGCTCAGTCAATATCGGATATTAAGATTGTCAGAACGTTATTCCTTGTAAATTAAAGTGAGGAAGTGAGATTGCAGTAAATGCACAGTACTGCAAAACTACTGGAAGGTTTCCATGGCTTATGCTAACAGAAAATATTCTTTATGACATAGATATTCTTGAATAATTTCCATCCTTGTTTCGTTCCCTGTCCCCCCTCCCCACCCCGAAAATGACTTTGAGAATACATAATAATCTCATGGAAAACATCCGTTACCCTCAAAAAGGTGGTTCTGGGATAGGTTTTCATTAAAAGACTGAAAATATTTCTTCATGACAAAATCTTCAGCACAGAGAAATGACATGTACATTTAATATATAAAATTATTACATAGTGAATACTCTAGGATGCTATTAGTCTATTAATTGAAAAGATGGATATTATTGTTGTCAATTTTCCTTTAAATATCCAGTCCTACATATTTCATTTTTCAAGCTCTTTCTCTTACAGATCTTTTTATAAAAACTAGTGCCTTTCTGATCTGTCCATTTATTTTTTCCAAATTAAGAGATGTTGTGACATACAAAGAAAGGATAATTTTTTTTAATTACTCTTCTCTCTCTCTGTCTTTTGGGTTTTTTTTTTAATTATAAAGGTGGCACCGAAAATCAAAGCACTGATGATGGAGTCAGGTACTACCATGGTTGGATATCAGCCTCAGGGCGATAAAGTCAACTTCTTCCGAATGGTCATCTCAAACCCAGCAGCAACTAAGTCTGACATTGACTTCCTCATTGAGGAAATTGAGAGATTGGGGCAGGAGCTGTAGTACAGTGGTTGAATTATTTATTTCTCTAATTCACTGTTTTCCAGCACTGGCTATTTTTTTTAAGCCAGTTCTGCAGAACATGTTTTAAGGAAATTCTCTTTCTGTAAGTTCCAATCTCCTAAGACATCCTTAAACAAAACAACTATAGGCTACTGAAACATATATGTATTGGTAGATCATATTACTGAGGGAAAATGTATTATCTTGAAGTTGAAGTACTATTGACTCTTACATTGGTCTTGTTTATTGTAGTCAGGAGGAAATTAATAAGTACTAAAATAGCAAACTAAGAACTCTGCACAGTATATATGTACAGTATAAATA